GGGTGCCCCTGACAGCGCAGTTGAGGGCGGTGGAATATCCGGGGACCCCAAACCCACCCCAGGACCCCCAAGCTCCCCCAGACCTTGGGGTGCCCCTGACAGCGCAGTTGAGGGCAGTGGAATATCCGGGGACCCCCAAACCCACCCCAGGACCCCCTAGGATCCCCCCAGACCTTGGGGTGCCCCTGACAGCGCAGTTGAGGGCGGTGGAATATCCGGGGACCCCAAACCCCACCCCCAGACCCCCTGGGACCCCCCCAATCCCCCCCAGACCTTGGGGTGCCTCCTGACAGCGCAGTTGAGGGCAGTGGAATATCCGGGGACCCCTAAACCCCACCCCAGACCCTCTGGGACCTCCCAATCCCCCCAGACCTTGGGGTGCCCCTGACAGCGCAGTTGAGGGCGGTGGAATATCCGGCCACGGCGCTGCGATCCACGAGGGGGTGAGGAACTGGGGGCTGAGCGGAAATCGTGCTCCTGGTACTGGGGGGCTTCAGACGCAGCTCTGGGGGAAAGGGGAGGCAAGGGGGAGTTGGGGGTACCCAAAAGCCCCTCAAATTCCTAAAGTCCCCCCAACCCCCGCCCTAAACCCACAAATACTGCCCCAAACCTCCCCAAACTCCCCCTAAATCCCAAACCTCCCCAACCCACCCCACAAATTCCCAAACACTCCCTCAAACTTCCCCAAACACCCCTCAAAATACCCCCAAATGCCCACTCCAAAACCCCCCAACCCCCCTAAAAACCCCAAACCCCAAACCCCCCCCCCCAAAACCCACAAACACCCCCAAACCTCCACATTTCCCAAACTTCCCCCAAACACTCCCCAAACACCCCAAACGCCCACCCAAAACCCCCAACCTCCCAAAACCCCCCAAACACCCCCAAACCCCAAACCCCTCCCCAAATCCCCAACACCCCCCAAACCTCCCTTAAAGCCCCCTAAACCCCCAAACACCCCCCAAAAACACCCCAAACGCCCACCCAAAACCCCCAACCCCCCAAACACCCCCAAACCTCCTCCCAAACCCCCTCCCCAAATCCCCAAACCCCAACCCTCCAAATCCCCCCAAATCCCCTCAAATCCTCCCCAAATCCCTCAAATCTCCCTCAAATCCCCCCAAATCCCCTCAAATCCCCTCAAATCCCCCCCAAATCCCCCCAAATCCCCTAAACCCTCCAAGCCCCCCAAAATTTGGGGTACCGGCTTTGGGGATGAGGGCCGTGTTGCTGGAGAGCCTGGGGTGACCTCTAAACCCCCCAAACCCCCCAAAATCCCCCCAAATCCCCATCAAACCCTCCCTAGATCCCCCCCAAATCCCCTAAAACCCCTCTAAAACCTCCCCAAATCCCCCCCCAAATTTTGGGGTACTGGCTTTGGGGATGCGGGGGTGTTGCTGACAGCCTGGGGTGACCCTAAACCCCTCAAACCCCCTAAATCCCTCAAATCTCCCCAAACCCCTTGTATCTCCCCAAATCCTCCCAAACCCCCTAAATCCTCATGAAATCCCTCCAAATCCCCCCAAATTTGGGGTACCAGCTTTGGGGATGAGGCAGTGTTGCTGGAGAGCCCGGGTGACCCCTAAACCCCCAAACTCCCTAAATCCCCTCAAACCCCATTAAACCCCCCAAACTCCTCAAATCCCCTAAACCCCATAAATCCCCTAAAACCCCTAAACCCCCCAAATCCCCCCCAAATTTTGGGGTACCGGCTTTGGGGATGCGGGGTGTTGCTGACAGCCCAGGGGTGACTCAAACTCCCTAGACTCCTCAAATCTCCCCAAAACCCCTTGTATCTCCTCTCAAATCCCCCAAACCTCTCTGAACCCCCCAAACCCTCCAGATCCCCTCGAATCTCCCCAAACCCCTCTCAAATTCCCAAATTTGGGGTACCAGCTTTGGGGATGAGGGCAGTGTTGCTGGAGAGCCCGGGGTGTCGCTGAGCTCGCACAGGGCCTCTAAACCTCCAAACCTCCCTCAAACCCCCTCAAATCCCCTCAAACTCTCAACCTCCCCAAACTCCCTCAGATCCTCACATCTCCCCAAACCCTCTGAAACTCCCCCAAATTTTGGGGTACCAGCTTTGGGGATGAGGGCAGTGTTGCTGGAGAGCCCGGGGTGTCGCTGAACCCGCACAGGCTCTCTCAAACCCCCCAAACCATCCCCAAATCCTCATGAAATCCCCCAAATTTGGGGTACCAGCTTTGGGGATGAGGGCAGTGCTGCTGGACAGCCCGGGTGCCGCTGAGCCCCGCACAGGCGCCCCTAAATCCCCCCCAAATCCTCCTAAAACCCCATAAAATCCCTTCTAAAATCCCTCCTAAAACCCTCCCAAATCCCCTCCAAATTTTGGGGTACCAGCTTGGGGATGCGGGGGTGTTACTGACAGCCCGAGTGACTCAAACCCCCTAGACTCTCCAAACCCCCCAAAATCCCCTCTGTACTCCTCAAACCCCCCCAAATCCCCTCGAATCCCCTCAAAGCCCCCTAAATCCTCGAATCCCCCCAAACCCTCCAAGGCCCCCCAAATTTGGGGTACCGGCTTTGGGGATGAGGGCCGTGCTGCTGGAGAGCCCGGAGACTGAACCCTCAAATCCTCTCAAACCCCCTCAAACCCCATTAAATCTCCTAAATCCCCCTCAAATCCCTCAAATCCCCTCAAACCCCCCAAATCTCGAAACCCCCCAAATCCCCCCCAAATTCTGGGGTACCGGCTTTGGGGATGCGGGGGTGTTACTGGACAGCCTGGGGTGACTCCAACCCCCCAAACCCCATTAAGTCCCCCCCAAACCCCATTAAATCCCCTAGACCTTAAGCCCCTCAAACCCCCCAAATCCTCATGAAATCCCCCCAAATCCCCCCCAACCTTTGGGGTACCGGCTTTGGGGATGCGGGGGTGTTACTGGACAGCCTCGGGGTGACTCAACTCCCAAACCCCTCAAATCCCCTAAACTCCCAAATCCCCCTCAAATCCTCAAACCCCCAAACCCCCCAGATCCCTCAAATCCCCTCAAACCTCCTGAAACCCCCCAAATTTTGGGGTACCAGCTTTGGGGATGAGGGCCGTGTTGCTGGAGAGCCCGGGTGCCGCTGAGCCTGCACAGGCCTCTAAACCTCTCTAAATCCTCTCAAACCCCCTAAATCCCTCAAATCTCCTTAAACCCCCCTCCAAGCCCCCCGAATTTTGGGGTACCGGCTTTGGGATGTGGGGTGTTGCTGGACAGCCTGGGACTAGACCCTCAAACCCTCAAATCCCCTCAAACCCCATTAAACCCCCCAAATCCCTCGAATTCCAAAACCCCAAACTCCCCCCAAATCCCTCGAATCTCTAAAACCCTCAAACCCCCCAAATCCCTCGAATCCCCCCAAACCCCTCCAAGGCCCCCCAAATTCTGGGGTACCAGCTTTGGGGATGAGGGCAGTGTTACTGGAGAGCCCGGGGTGTCGCTGAGCCTGCAAGACAGGCTCCTCTAAATCCCCCTCAAATCCCCCTAAAACCCCATAAAATCCTCTAAAACCCCCTAAATCCTCTGAAACCCCCCAAATTTGGGGTACCAGCTTTGGGGATGAGGGCAGTGTTGCTGGAGAGCCCGGGTGTCGCTGAGCCTCAAGACAGGCTCCTCTAAATCCTCTCAAACCTCTCAAACCCCTCAAATCCTCCTTCAGCCCTCAAACCCCCCAAATCCCCCCCAAATTTGGGGTACCAGCTTTGGGGATGAGGGCAGTGTTGCTGGAGAGCCCGGGGTGCCGCTGAGCCCGCACAGGTTCTCGCTGAACACCTTGAACAGGTACTCGTTGCCCATCACCAGCTCGGACACCGTGCAGCGAGTGGGCCGGTTGTGCTCGTACACCGTGAACCACTCCTGCCATGGGGGAATTGGGGGTTTAGGGGGTTTGGGGGATTGGAGAGGGTTTGGAGGGTTTGAGGGGTTTGGGGAGTTGAGGGTCAAAGGAGGGGTTTGGGGGATTTGGGGGATTTGGGCCGGTTGTGCTCAGTACACCGTGGAACCACTCCTGGGGGTTTGGGGGAAATTGGGGGTTTAGAGGGGGTTTGGGGGTTTATGGGGTTTGGAGAGGGTTTGGGGTCAAAGGAGGGGCTTGGGGGTTTGGGGGATTGATGTGGGCCGGTTGTGCTCGTGACACCGTGAACCACTCCTGGGGGAAATGGGGGTTTAGGGGTTTGGAGGGTTGGGGGCTTTAGAGGGTTTATGGGGGTTGGGGGCTTTAGTGGGGTTTTGGGGAGATTTGAAAGGTTTGGAGGGGGTTTGGGGGTTTAGGGGGATTTAGGGCTGGTTGTGCTCAGTACACTGTGAACCACTCCTGGCATGGGGGAATTGGGGGCTTAGGGGGTTTTGGGGGTTTGGAGGGGGTTTATGGGGAGTTGAGGGTCAAAGGAGGGGGTTTGGGGGTTTGAGGGGATTGGGGGATTTGGGGGATTTGGGGCCGGTTGTGCTCGTACACAGTGAACCACTCCTGGCATGGGGGAAATTGGGGGCTTAGAGGGGCTTTAGGGGTTTATGGGGGTTTGGAGGGGCTTTGGGGGTTTATGGGGGATTGGGGGTTTGGAGGGGATTAGGGGAATATTTGGGATCGGTTGTGCTCGTACACCGTGAACCACTCCTGGCATGGGGGAAATTGGGGGTTTAGAGGGGGTTTGGGAAGGTTTGGGGGCCTTTAGGGGTGTTTGGGAAGGTTTGGAGGGGATTTGGGGGTTTGGGAAGGTTTGAGGGGATTTGGGGGTTTGAGGGGGTTGGGGGATTAGGGGATTTGGGGCCGGTTGTGCTCGTGACACCGTGAACCACTCCTGGGAATTGGGGGCTTAGGGGTTTAGGGGGTTTGGAGGGGTTTGGAGGGGTTTAGGGGTTTATGGGGGTTTGGGGGCTTTGGGGGTTTGGAGGGGCTTATGGGGAGTTGGGGAGGCTTATGGGGGTTTGGAGGGGGCTTGGGGGTTTGAGGAGGATTGGGGGATTTGGGGCCGGTTGTGCTCACACCGTGAACCACTCCTGGGGAGGGGGAATTGGGGGTTTGGAGGGGTTTGGGGGTTTAGGAGGGGTTTGGAGGGGTTTATGGAGGTTTGGGGGCAGGGATGGGGGCTTGGGGGTAAAGGAGGGGGTTTGGGGGATTAGGGGGATTTGGGGCCGATGTGCTCGCGACAACCGTGAACCACTCCTGGGGAATTGGGGGTTTAGAGGGATTTGGGGGGTTTGGGGGCTTTAGTGGGGTTTTGGGGGAGATTTGGAAGGTTTGGAGAGGATTTATGGGGAGTTGAGGGTCAAAGGAGGGGGTTTGAGGGGGATTAGGGGGATTTGGGACCGGTTGTGCCTGTACACCGTGAACCACTCCTGGGGTTTGGGGAAAATTGGGGGTTTAGAGGGGGTTTGGGGGATTTGGGGGTTTGGAGAGGATTTATGGGGAGTTGGGGAGGAGGGATGGGGGTTTGGGGGTTTGAGGGGGATTAGGGGGATTTGGGGCCGGTTGTGCTCTGTACACCGTGAACCACTCCTGGCATGGGGGAATTGGGGGTTAGGGGTTTGGGAAGGTTTGGGGGCCTTTAGGGGTTTGGGAAGGTTTAGAGGGGCTTTGGGGGTTTTGGAGGGGATTTGGGGGTTTGGAGGGTTTGGAGGGGTTTGGAGGGCTTGAGGGGGATTGGGGGATTTGGGTCGGTTGTGCTCGTACACCGTGAACCACTCCTGGCATGGGGGAATTGGGGGTTTAGGGGGTTTGAGGGGATTTGGGGGTTTATGGGGAGTTGGGGGCAGGGATGGGGGTTTGGGGGTTTGAGGGGGATTGGGGGATTTGGGGGATTTGGGGCCGGTTGTGCTCGTACACCGTGAACCACTCCTGGGGGTTTGGGGAAATTGGGGGTTTAGGGGGATTTGGGGGTTTATGGGGGTTTATGGGGTTTGGAGGGGGTTTATGGGGATTGGAGGCAAAAATGGGGGTTGGGGGCTTTATGGGGTGTTTGGAGGGGTTTATGGTGGGTTGGGGGTTTGGAGGGGGTTTGGGGGCAGGGATGGGGGTTTGGGGTTAAAGGAGGGGTTTGGAGGGGGTTTGGGGGCTTTGGGGGAATTGAGGGGCAAAGGAGGGGTTTGGGTGGTAAAAGAGGGGGTTTGGGGGCTTTGAGTGGCAAAGGAGGGGTTTTGGGGGTTTGAGGGGTTTGAGGGGGTTGGGGGCTTTGGGGGTTGAGGGGATTGGGGGAGGATTTGGGGCCGGTTGTGCTCAGCACACCGTGAACCACTCCTGGGGAGGGGGAATTGGGGGTTTAGAGGGGATTTTGGGGTTTGGGGGTTTGAGAGGATTTATTGGGAGTTGAGGGTCAAAGGAGGGGGTTTGGGGGGTTTGAGGGGGATTAGGGGGATTTGGGACCGGTTGTGCTCATACACCGTGAACCATTTCTGGGGGAATTGGGGGTTTAGAGGGGGTTTGGAGGATTTGGAGGGGTTTATGGGGAGTTGGGGGCAGGGATGGGGGTTTGGGGGTTTGAGGGGGTTTGGGGGAGTTGAGGGTCAAAGGAGGGGGTTTGGGGGTTTGAGGGGATTGGGGGATTTGGGGCCGGTTGTGCTCAGTACACCGTGAACCACTCCTGGGGTTTGGGGGAAATTGGGGGTTTGGAGGGGTTTGGGGGTTTGGGGAGGTTTATGGGGGTTTGGGGGTTTAGAGGGGGTTTGGGGGTTTGAGGGGGATTAGGGGGATTTGGGGCCGGTTAGTCTCAGACACCGTGAACCACTCCTGGGTGGGGGAAATTGGGGGTTTAGAGGGGCTTTAGGGGTTTATGGGGTTTGGAGGATTTGGGGGAGATTTGGGGGTTTGGAGGGGTTTATGGGGAGTTGAGAGTCAAAGGAGGGGGCTTGGGGGTAAAGGAGGGGGTTTGGGGGATTTGGGACCGGTTGTGCTCGTACACCGTGAACCACTCCTGGGGTTTGGGGAATTGGGGGCTTAGGGGGTTGGAGGGTTTGGGGGTTTGGGGGTTTGGAGGGGTTTATGGGGATTGGGGGCAAAATGGGGTTGGGGAAAACTGGGGCAAACTGGGGGGGTTGGGGGTTTATAGGGAGGGATGGGGTTTGATGGGCAAAGGAGGGGATTTAGGGGTAGAGGAGGGGGTTGGGGGTTGAGGGGCAAAGGAGGGGCTTTTGGGGTTGATTTTGGGGTGTCCCCCCCTCACCATGGTCCTCTTGTCGGCCTTCTGGGGTGTAATTTTGGGGTCAGGGGGTCATTTAGGAGTCTGGGGGTGTTTGGGGGTGTTTGGGGGTGCCCAGGGGGTCTGATTTTGGGGTCCCCCCTCACCATGGTCCTCTTGTCGGCCTTCATGACGGTGTACCCCGTGACCTCGGCGTTGCCGTCATCCTCGGGGGGCTCCCACTCCACCAGGGCGTTGAACCCCCAAACCTCCTTCACCTGCACGTTCTTGGGGGGGCCAGGGCGCTCTGGGGGGGCACAAAAACACCTCAGGGAACCCCCCCAGAGAGAAACCCCCAAAATACCAAAAAACCCACCCCAAAATACCCTAAAACTGCCCCAAAATCCTCCCCAAAGCTCCTTCACCTGCACGTTCTTGGGGGGACACGGGCGCTCTGGGGGGGGCACAAAAACACCTCAGGGACCCCCCCAGAGAGAGAAACCCCCAAAATACCCAAAAAACCCACCCCAAAACTGCCCTAAAATACCCCAAAATATCAAAAAATACCCCAAAAACAGCCTTAAAATACCCCCAAAAATACCTCAAAATATCAAAAAAAAACCCAAAATACCCCAAAACATCCCCAAAAAGACCCCCAAAAGACCCCCAAAATAACCCCAAAATACCCCCAAAACATCCCAAAATACCTCAAAACAGCCCCAAAATACCTCAAAACTACCCTAAAATCCCCCCCAAAGCTCCTTCACCTGCACGTTCTTGGGGGGGCCGGGGCGCTCTGGGGGGGGCACAAAAACACCTCAGGGACCCCCCCCAGAGAGAAAAACCCCCAAAATAACAAAAAACACCTCAAAATACCCCAAAACAGCCCCAAAATGCCTGGAAATATAAAAAAAATACCCCCAAAACAGCCTTAAAATACCCCCAAAAATACCTCAAAATATCCCAAAAAAAACCCAGAATACCCAAAAACAGCCCCAAAATACCCCAAAATATCAAAAAATACCCCAAAACCAGCCCTAAAATA